ACGGGCCCGGATAGCCGTCCAGCCGTCGGGTCTTTCAGGCGTCCGGTCGCTTGGACCAGTTCTGTGAGTGTTAACGATGTCATTGTGGCTTTGTTTGCCACCATGGAGCGACCAGCGTCTTTTAGCTTGCTTTAATTATTATGCTGCATCGCTTTGGAAAGCAATCTAAGCACGAATAGTGACGAGGAAGATCTGCTGCCCGTGCTGTTATTCGCGGAAGCGGCCCTCAGACGGCGCCCATTTTGGGTTCAGGAAGGTTGAGGTCGCGCGGGGAGTGGGGAATCCTTCTCATTATTCACCAGCTATAGTAACACTCTGACGGGTCCCATTTGCCTGCTTGTCTTGCTCAACATGCCATGCTGGTTTCGCAAAGCGGTTGTATGGTAATCACAAGGGCACAACACTAAATACGCCCTGAGCTGACAACGCCACCAGACCCCACATTTGCTTTAGGTAAATAACCGACAACGACACGGGACACCGGTGCCATGGACACCGACACGAGCTTGGCATTTTTGGTGCGACAAATCTGGCACCTGTGACGTGATATATCATGCAATTGAAAACACAAAATATGACAGCCAAACAACGACACATGCTGCTGAGCAGTCCTTCGCACGCAAGAAAGTAGCTACGCACATGTTTTCACGATGTTCGTGCTATACATTCACTCGTCTCTAATACAACACATATGTGTGATGCGCTCCAACGTGTCGGTAGGCAGCACGAGCGCAGTCGAAAGCCCAAAAAAGATAAACCAAGTTTACCTGTCGGCTGGAGACGTGTATGGGTTCGGATGGCCTGTCTCGATGTCGACGGCGGTCGGTGAGCTCCCCCCGGCTCTCAGTGGATCGAGGGCCGCACGTTGTCCGTTTCCGGGTCTTCGGGTTGGGCCCCCAGATATTCCATTGTTTTCAAGACATTCCGGGTCTAGAAGGTGAATCGCCAGATCATGTGTAAATCGTGCTTCAGAAGGAATATCCCAATGTATGCACAGTCCCGTGGACATATTGGGGACCGTTCGTTCATAAAAGCCAAGAGCTGGTTCGGGCAGGTAACTGACCCTCCCGGTACTCCATAAAAATTCCGAGACCGTACGGCAGCTGCCGTATCGATTGGCGCCGCTGAAATGGCGGCACACCTTCGCACTGCGTTGGAGGTATGCATCTTTCATGAGAAAGTTTGATCCAAGGTAACAGAACTTTGGTTGAGGAGAAAGGCTGCACTATGCTGCCCGAGAAAGCAGTATGAAAATATATTGCTCGCAAAATGATCGCCTTCCTACCAGACATAGTGATGTTCGTCCTCTGTGAGATTAATTAAACTTAGTTGGCCCTGAAACACACCTGAAGGTTCGAGTGTGAATGTTTCGAGGTCTAAAAGCCCCCTTGTGCTGCATGGTACTTCCGTGCACCGTGGTTTGTCGAGGACGCCGCAGTCGACGCTGTCGAAAGCTTTCCCTAAATGGACGGCGATCAAGATCAGTATAAATTATTTGCCTTATTTTGTGCATAATTCACTCGACAGCTTGGGGCAGGATGTTGTTAAATTGCCTGACCTGCAAGCACGTTGGTCGAAAGTTAGAATGTCGTTGCAAGTGTCTGATCCCAGTGGTGGCGTTATTTGAGCGCTCACTTAGAGTTCTGTCTCGGTAAAGGGACGTCATATGAGCGCTGGCCTTGAGTTCCATCCCAGTATTGCCGTCACACGAGCGTCCACTCTACAACATTTCAGATCGGTGATTCAGGACGATAACATTGTTAAAATTGATCCGTGAATGAAAACCCACGACAGGCTGAGGCGGGGTTGATTTGACCCCGTAATCAGATCCAGACGATTCGGAAATCTGGTGTTTGCCTGAATTCATCTGCATAAGCTGTTTCGAAGTACGCATTTACAGACCGGTGCTGCATATGTCAGTAATTTGGTTCAAACTAGAAGCTCAGTTTCCACTGGTCTGAGCTCATTTCATTGCACCGGTAGTTTGTCTGAATCACACGAACAACGAAGATTAACAAGGTATGTGCTGGTAGTGTTAATGGATTGAGTTTCGTCATCTGGTCAAATCTGGCTTGCTTGGCCCAGGATCTAGTTCATGCATCGTCTCCCTTTCTCAGAATTTCTAGCTCCAAACTGGTCCAGTCAGTTGTATCACGCATTTCGCTCAGCACTGCTCACGTTCATCTGCTTCGATGTTTCACTCTGGCATAGAGGGGCTTCCACATTTTAATGATATGAGGCAAGCACCAGAAATGATGAAAAGAGCTCATTTGTAATCATAGGTGTGCTTTCTAGCGCAAAAGGCTATTCCTTTTAACAAGCTTTCAACATTTTTAAATGCACTCCGCAATGCGCGTTCCTTTGATTATGTCACGGACCGTTTTAATAGTGTCAGAGTCGCTGCTAGGTTGACCGTATCAAAGTTGACACCATCGGAAGTCATGTCTCACTGGTGGCACTTCTATGCACCGTAGGTGGCGTTGGCCGTTACGTTGTGATTATATAATTTTCGACTCACAGCCTCATGTATATCATAACTAGAGCAATCGCCTTCCATCATTGAGACACTTGGTGCTGGATCACTGTTTACAAAAGCATTTCAGTGGTCGTATTCGTTTTGACCACGAGCGCATCACGGCAAAAGAGATGGTGATAGTTGCGTGTCGTTTCTATGACATCCTGCATGTTTGAGTGACTCAAATAGGCCGCGCAATAGACTGCACAACTTTGCATGCGTCAAGCCCAGACGCAAGAAAGTTTGAAGCCTCAAAAACAGCATGACCCTGCGCTGCAGGGAATGTTTATGGAAATGGCTATATCAGTTTAAAACCACCATACAGATGTCGAACATTACTTTTAACACGACACGCCATGTAAAGCACAACACAGTACATTCAATTTTGGATGCACGGGCAGTTCCATTCACAGAAGCCACGTGGCTTCCAGCATCAGTTATTGGCTTCAGCCATCCCGCCAGGCGTACGGCATGAGAGGAGCATCTCGCAGCTTATGCATGCATATGATGCGTGCATATCTTTACTTGCAATTCCACAGTCCTGCTTACATGGGTCCGCCCTATTTTCGCTCCCAAATTATTCAATGGTCCCTGCAATGGTCTGCCTTGGGTCTTATCTGAAACATGCAGCATATACGGAATTATAAATCGTTAAAACAACGTTCAAAGATAAAGGACATATTATGTCGTCGTCGTATCGAGATATCATGCCTTATCATTAGCGCGGGAGATGGCATTATAGTAAATGTTCATCATAACAATCTCACGGTGATAGAGCCGTGGATCGCACACAGGTAAAGACAAAGCATTAATAAATTGTGTACGCCCTCATTATGACGAAGGAGATTTCTGAATATGATGCGAGCAGGTGCCTGTACAAGTATTGGGACACCGATATAAAATAAACTAATAAGACTTAGAAACGAGCAAAACGCCTTGAATTTCTGACTGCGCAATAATTTGGTTTCATTTTAATTTCTGGAACTCTGTACCCTGGGTCTGTACTCCAGCAAACGTATGCAAACAAAGCTGTTGTTCGGTGCACTAGAAGCCCGTGTGTTACGAAAATTTGGGTAAATCCATAACTTACGCTTGCTACACAAGTTGCATAAGCTAATCGTTCTTTTAACACATGAGGTTCTGGCGCACCTGAAACGCGCTTGTAAGAAATGGAGGAAAGCGCCTCTGTTAAATAAATAATACTGGCCGCATTGCTTTTGACTTCGTGGTATTTTGTATTCCGTGAAGCAATCGATGATGCTCCGACACACCTGTTGTGCGTGTCGTTGATTAGACGTCATTTTGCGACTTCCAAGATCCAGCGTGTGAAGCAAGGTAGATGAGTACGTTCATACGTGGTGGAGCATACATGTTCCTCAAAAAGCCTGCATTGGGATGTGAGAACGTTCATGACTGTTATCCGACAACAATGCGTTAGTTTCATGTTGTACACTTTCCAGATCTTTGAATAGGACAAACGGACAAAATGCCTTCTTGAAACTGCAGACAATTAATTAACAGTCCGTGCATGTTATCAACACATCTACAACTGTTACACTGTCGCATCATAAAACGTATTTTGCAGCAATGCGGCATTTTCTCAAGCAAAGCTTCATTGGCGCTTCTTTGTCTGGGAAGCTGTACCCAATTCTTTGAAGTTTTCAGATTTTGCCTTATGCGATCCATGGATCTATTCGTTATCAGCGGGTTGAATTGAATCTATGGAAAACTATCACTGGAACCAGCTGCCAACAACGTTTCGCCGGTGAAATCGCCACTGTGAAAATAATGGAACCTTTAAGTACAAAATGCTGCCGCCACTGTGGTCAGGGGAAAGGTGCTGAACTGGTAATCCAGCGGCACTGAGCACCACTCCCAGAGCGGGCACGCACTGGCCCGCCTGGCATGCAAAGATCAGCTGACAACTGACCAATGACATTCGACCTAGGCTATAGGCGGCTGTGACGCAGCATTATGTGACACTTTAAGTCCCCCTGAGTCCCGTCTGACGAAAGCACGAAGGCTTGAATATCCGTTAAGCTGGACAGCACAGCTTAGTGATGGGATCAGGAGCAACAAGCTAGGCTTGTGAGGTACCTTCAAACCGAAGACAATCATACAAAACATTCGGAACGCATTTATATAAGAATATAGCGATTGCCAGTCATGTGTTTGACCTCAGACATTCCTTGCCTTCACTGTCAGGTTGTGTACAACAAGACTTCGATGAAGCCCCAGTGGCACGTGCAGGGCCTGATCCCTGGCCAGCGGTACAGGATCCACGCCGTGGCGCTGAACGCCAAGGGCAGGAGCGCTGCTGTCATCCTACCGGCCGACACCGTCACCGGCCCCGAGAAACAGCAGGAGAACAAACAAGGTCAGTGGTACAGACGGACGATTGGTGTCCTCCCAACCATTACTGTCACTGGCTCCGAACGACAGCACGAGAACAAACAAGGTTAGCTGTGGCAAACAGCTGGTTGTTGTTTACCAATTGATGCTGGCGCTGGCTTGGAAAACCAAACAACAGAAACGATTCTGGCAGGAGACGGCTGACCTGCGTTCTCAGGTCATCAATGCTTTAAATACTGTTAAGCTTAGCATTTAAAGGGAATATCACACCTTTTTGTACTTTTTACTTATGGTTACGTCAGACATGTACCATTTGATTATTAACACCAGTTTTCTCGAAATCCTTCTGAAAAGGTCATAATTCCGTTTTGAAGTTGCCGACCGCGCGGTAAAAATCCCATTTCTCACCTTGCTCACCACTTACCACTTTGTGAGTAATACAAAATATCCATAACGATGTGTATAACATAATATTATATGTAACATAACAACATAATATTAGATATAACATAATAGTAATACATATAATCTATCTTGCTTTTTCCAACGTGCGTGTTGTATAACGTTTACAACAAAGTATTTTATCAAAATCCTTTCGTAATAAATGCATTGAAAGCTTCAACACACCGTTCAGACAAAAATATATGGGACCAAGAGGTTCTTGTTCTGCGAATTCAATGAAGCGTCATATTATGGCTTTGATTTCTCCCACTAAGGTGTTTTCCACAGCGGTTCTTTTCGAGGCGCACATTGGATTTTGGGAATGAGAGTAACACATGATCCATGTAACGCACTGGTTGAAGCTTTAACCAATCAACTTCGTGGTAACAGACCCTTGCCCGCTAGGCCAATCGCAAAACGTTCTTTTATTCACACTAGTAGAGCTATGCACGGTAGTTCTCATAACGCCGGTGGTTGCGAAGGCTGCGAAGATGTGTAGCTTTGTTACAAAGCGTTGTTACTGCGTAATTTGGACATAACAATAAGCTAAATGGACATATGTTATGTCTTGACGGTGCTACAGTGGCATAACCCAGAGTTATTCCTGGACGTAGGTAGCCCTGAGGCTTCACCAGAGTATTTCGTTTGATATGCCCGAAAAGTGGGACACTCCTCTTAAAACCACCCTACTCGCGTGCTGTTTTGCGAAGCCTGCTGCGCAATTTCTGCATTGGTGAGACGTGTTTCGCAGGCTCGACCGTTGTGTTTACAATGATAAGTCGTAAGGTCGATAGCCCGAGTCCAAACGGAGACACGCATTCGCACATAGCACAATTATTACCAGCGTTACCTCAGCTGTCCCGGATCGGAAGGCGACGCCACCAGCCGGCGCCGAGACCAGCTGCTTCCTCACGACTGCGCTCCGCGCTCGACAGATTTCACGATCGCTGAGATGCTTCCGGAACCAGCCGAACACTCGCCGCTGCTGGCCCTGCTGGTGGGTGGGGTCGGCTCGCTCGTGCTGCTGCTGCTGGCCGCCATCCTGGCGGCCTTCGCGTGCCGCCGCGGTCACCGCCAGGGTGCGCCAACAAGTCGGCTGCACCTGACGACGCCGGTCGACCTGGACAGCGGCGACACGAGGGGTTCAGACGTGTCGCCTGGTCCCAACGGTTAGTGGATACCAGGAGTATACCAGGACTCAAAATCGGACGCAGGATCCGGGATCTGGACCGTGTCCTCGATATGTTCCGTGCCATTCAAGATCGAGATCCGGTGATTGCAGAGTCGAACGCGATCCGGGATTAGCCCCTGCCATCGCGGGTAACATGCATTCCCTCAGCAACGGGAATTTTCTCAGTAAGGTTATTTGAGTTTGGTGCGTGCCCCCCCCCCCCCCCCCTGCTCCGCGAACCGCAGTGGTTAACGAGGCGTTCACGCGGTGGGAAGCGTGTCGTTGCACCGAGACTGTTCCACCACACTGAATGGTCACAGCCCTCCCCCCCCCCCCCACAATTCCAATGTAATGAGGCAGGGATATTTGCCAGGCAAGGTTACATGCACGGCATGGAAAAAGCTTTGCAGCTGCATGTAAAATGGTATGACAACCGCACTATTTTGGCGACTGGGCATTGCTGTCACGCATGGCAACAGCTCGTAGGGCTCTTAGCTTTTTCTTCGTTCATGGAAGGTCTTAGACGCACACAAAATAAACACGTTGAATTAGGCAAAAGCTGAATGCGCAGCATAGCTTACGCACGGTGCTCGCCGGTGGATTTGCCCCAGCGACCGCCAGAGCTGGCGCGTGAGATGCAGACCAACTGCGCCGTTCTGCGCGCAATGGGCAGGACATGTGCAAGTCACACCGTTTGGCTAGGCGGACCATATTTGGTATCAGTGAATACGACCTCACACCGCTGGAAGCGCGGTCGCCGATGGCGTGCGCGGGGAGCAGAGCCGGCCGTCTGAGCGCCTGCACCTGGTGGCGCGCGCTCTGGAGTAGGCTATCTCCACAGCCACGCCGGCCAATGGATACTGCGCCAGCCGGCCGGCCGGTCGTTCGACGGCCGGCCGGCTGCTGTGAGATGAGAACGTTGTAAATTCATGAGATGACTGTGACCTGACGGCCAGGAGGGGCCGCTGGAGTCGGCTGGCCGGCGGCAGCGGCGCTGGCCCGGCGCCGCGAGCGTGACGCGCCGACCGTTGTGGTGCGGCGCCGCTCCCTCCGCGGCCATCGGGCCAGCCGCGGCCGCTGCAAGCCTGACTGAGCTCCATTACCGACCCGCGACAGTCAACATTAATCACCGTTGTCGATCCCTCGTCGCTATCCGGTGTACAGGGCTCGGTAATCCGGTGTATTACAGATGGCGTGGGTGGCATAACAGGTGGGGCGTATGCTCTAGGCCAGCGATCTGTTTGATCGGACGAATAGTTTATTTGGCAATAATGCATTTCCTATTTATCCGCGTGCTTATGGATACGACTTTCGACATATTAAGAGACCTCGAACCCGTATGCTGCTTTATCATTGCCTCAACATTGTCAACTCGAAGAGGGATTTCCTTAACCCCATGCTAGTCGCCGGTCCAGCCATCTTCCACAGATTGGGGACGGGTTGGCGGGACCGCCGCAGCCAAATGTGCGCGTACGTGTCAATGCAAGTCTGAGAAAACAACAGAACACAGGACGGTAGCTTTGTATGTGATCCACGACTCTTCCCTGATATTTTGTGGCGTCTGTCAGAGATCACTGATTGAAATGACTTTGATCTATGCTCTTCATAATCAGATCGTACGGGTTAAGACGTCCAGGACCTGACACAGCTTTGATATGTTATACACCGTTTTACAGGTGCCGACCATTTACACCCACAACACCCCCCGACCGCACTAAAGTGGTGAATCAGTATCTGACTATCCAGCCATATATCAAGGGAAGGGTTCCAAATTTATATCGGGTTTTGAACTGAAATGCCATCTTGAAGACCTTTTGTTCCTGTTAACAATTCTTCCCTTCTTATGACCCAAGCCCCTTTAGTTTCTGAACTATATGCCCGCGAAAATGGCGAAAAATATAGCGGTAGAGTACTTCAAAGACACGTTGGCATCTATGACGTTGCAATAACGTTATTCAAATCCGGCCATTCCAAAATCCATGCGGCGTTCAAGACCAAGAAATATGATTATCGAGGCGCTTATATCTGGCGTTCGTGAGTGCTATTTCCAGTTATAACGACCGTCGATTGACTCTCAATCCATGTTGTCCAAGGTACGATGACGTAATCAGACATTGACGCGTTAAGCAGTATATTTATTAACAGAGTATTGTGCCGTCTAGTCTTTTCTTTCCACTCTTTTCCACTCAAAAAGCGTACGAATTGCTGTGAGTGAGCTTGTTTCATCATATTTGATGCTTGGTTTAACATCTTCAAAGGTGAAAGATTCTCTTTAAAGGGAGTGCTCTGCATTTGAAGATATTGAGGCAATCATCAGATGTGATAAAAAAAAACTCACTGTTAAGTATATGTGTCGTTTTTATGAGCATGTCCGCATTTAAAGATATTGAAGCAATCAGCAGATATGATGAAATATACTCTCTCATAACGTATGGCGTACTTTTAAATGGGAAAGCCTGCCGTGGACAAAAGCATTTCGTTAGTTGGGAAATATGCTCCTCAATGCGTCATTGTTTGCGTCATGGAACGTCTGTACGACGATGAGTTACTTATGGCCATGACAGTATTATTCCCCTGATTTCCCGTAGAATAACCAAGAGAATGGGAGGAAGGATGGATTGATTTTTCGGCTACATGCCTGTATCGAACCAAATATCATTAGTAAGTTGAAATATCCTGCAGATAGCCCTCGATTTCTCAGCTTTTTACAGCGTTTAATTGCGAGCCACATTTTTTACAAGTCACCGACATTCATAGGATTTAATATCAAGCAACCGCCAATCATTACTACAATGCAGTGTATATCCAACCAAAAATTAAAGTGCGAGAAAAATGCATGTGCATGGAGACGGATTCAAGTATACAGACATCACGCATCACGCATCAATTATACATGCAAGCGATTTTAAGTAAACAGGCATCGCGCATTACTTAGCGCGCCCGGGTGGGGTGCAAATTAACCTCCCCCCCCCCGAAGGTTTTTCCGGAATGGTTTCCGAACGGCGCGGATTAGCCGCGAAATTTTGCATAGCTGTAGAAAATTGAATAGCAGATCGTTTAATGTAAAGGATTTAGATGTATCTTGTAACTTCGCTGACCTATGACGGGTCAAAGTCAGGCCATGGTTTCAGCGAAGGCAATTTCTAGCGAATCGTTCAGTCTGATACTACAACGGAGTGTTTGACGAAGCCATACATATCTGAGATGCTTTCTTATGCAACACACAGATTGAATGAGCAAATTATGTTGACCTAAGGTCAGATATGAAGGTCAGACCAAGGTCAAAACCAACCTGTTTTATTATTCTAGGGCTTGATGTATGGGATAGTTTCAGGTGTTCATTTTGAATTTATTGGTAGCAGGAACCGCATTATGAGTCTTCCATTGACCTTTTGGAGGCCAGAAAAGGTCACTGACCTAAGATCACCCAGGTCAATATTTTGTTTTTGAGACACACTGCCAGGTGTAATATTTGTCGCTTATTCAAATACAAAACTCAGAGCAGTCTTGCATGATTTTCGTCACCATGACCTTTAAAAGGTCAAATAGGTTTACTAACCTTAAATGGGCTTGTGGCCTTTTGCTTAGAAACAGTTATCTAGGTTATGGGGGCACTTTGGAGACCAACCTGTAATTTGACCTTGTTTGACCTTATTTGACGAAAAGGGCATGACCTAGAAACCCCAAGCTTTGACCTAGGTGAGGTTGCGTACAAACCAGTACATCCTGTAAATTTTGTGCCTCTAGCTTTCTTAGTTCCGGAGACCTCAGGGTGAGGTCAAAATGACCCCCCACCCGAGTGAAGGATATCTGGCCGGCCACCCGGATGCGTGTTAAACATGCGAACGATTCCATTTTAACGGGCATCGCGCATCACCCCTCAGACATCACCCATGCATGTAAATTATTTTAAGCTAGCACGCATCACACATCAAGGCACTGCTCACGTTCGCATGATCGGCCATGATGAGCCCCCTACGTTACGGTCTCGTCGCCGACTTTCCGTAAGACTGGATTCGCCTTTTTTCCTGTGTTGACGGTCCTGTGCTCTTTAGATGACTCGGAGTTCTTAAAGGGGCACAGGGTCCGTACCTCCCTGGATTTCAGCCTAAGTGTGTCTCGTCAAAAAATGGCCGCCGAAAATTGCCACCAAAAACACGGATTAAAGTGGGATCGGATATTGAGGCTGAGCATCCACACAGATTCAGACATATTGAAGATCAAACAAGCTGTATCGCGTTTGAGCCTGACGCCAATCCCAGGCGACATTGGTTCAAAGCAAATTTCAGGAGGGGCGACGAACTGCACTGGATGATCTTCAAAATGACTACCTCAGCTCAACACCATATACAAATGAGAAACACTCCCTTTGATGACTTAAGGAATACCAAATGATTGCATTCTTACCTCTACAGATTTTGGCATTTGCTATTTTCACATCTTAATCCGTCCCTTACAGTCCGCCCGTCCGTCCCGTCCGTTCCCCTTCAGTCCGTCCCCGCTGGCCATTTCATTGCATGTTTACATGCCTTTACGTTATGCCTATCACATTTAGTTGATGACTGTTTTGTTGAATGTGGAAATATTATTGAGCCGCGGTGATTGTGTTATCATGATGGTGACATGCATCACCGTTAGAATAGCTGCTCGGAATAGCGTGCTCGTCTAGTGTGAAAGCATGAATGCAAGGCTCCCGCCAGTTTATTCTCCGGCCGTCGACAGGTCCTGAGAAAGGGTTGGATGGTGTTTGGCTTTTAGCCATGAATGCGACACAAAAGCGAATTATTTTCATGGGGTTGCTGTGATTCGAACCAGGGTCTTTTGATTGTGAGTCCAGTGTAACCGATTTAACAGGGAGGGACAAGCTTTTGGGTGTAAAAACGTTGTGTCACTTATCTCCTGGATGTCTGGTGGTTTTTCCGCAGAATTAGGTTGCACGTTGGGCACATGTCTGCACCTTGCTTGCTGATGGGGATGTTAGCCGATGTCATCTGTACT